CCGGTGGAATCTAGGGGTTAGTCCGTCAGTCAGCTTACCTAGCATCTTAGCCGCTCTGTTTAGCCACGTTCCTCAAAACAAAGTCCTTCGCCTCCCCCGGGTCTGTGAAACTGTGTCGCTTTCCATTGGCCGTTGTGATCCGCAAAACTGAGGGATACCACAGTCCGTACTTGACACCATCACAGCCTCTTAGCATGCCTTTCACATCCCTGAAGGCGGCTCTCTGCTTCGCGACTGCTTGGGTGTAGTCGGGGAATACTCTGATCCTGTCTCCGTGTGACGTTGTCGGATCTGTGGCCGTGGCTGCCTTGCAGAGGATCGCTTCCTTCTCCCGGTAATAGTGAAATCTCACCACAAAGGCGCGGGGTGGCTGGTCCTCCTGGGGCCGTTCCCGTAGGGTGCGATGGCATATGTCTAGTAGTGGCTCTTTTTCTAAGCCCAGCGTTTCCTGGAGTAGTTTAGCTACAAAGTCAGTTGGGTTCTTCCACGGGTTCCCCGCAGCGAGGCAGTTCACGAGCGTACTCTACCACCAAACAACACAGAACAATGGTGCTTCTTAAATCACATTAAGCTGTTGCAAGCATAGATTTCACAGCATGAGTCCAGCATAGAAATGTTTATATAGGCATATAAAGTATAATTACCTTCATTCAATGCAAGATCAACATGGACAGCCACCTCAGTTTCCTCATTACAGAGCTCAATAATTAATGCGTGGCCACACATTATTAATGTGTGGCCACGCATTAATAATGTGTGGCCACGCATTAATATTTTTCTCACCAATGTCACCAGGGGGGCTCCGTAGAATATTTTGATTAAAGGTGGGGTAGGTAATTCACTTCAGAAACACTTTTTGTTATATTCCATGTAATGCTCTTAACATCCCGATAGCAATGAATATATTAAATGCTTTGACAATAAATACATTAAAAAAAATCATCCATGGAAGCCGTGGCGCTGTGAAAAGCACGACCAATCATTCTAGCCGTGTTAGGATTCGTGGAAAGGGTAGGACCCAAATGCGGACTACAAAACAAGGTAAAAAGGTCTAGAAACAAAAGCGAGCTTTATTCCAAAAGCTGAACATAAACATGGCATGAAACACACAAACTACAAAAAAAAGGTACTACAAAAACTGACCGTGACCAACATGGTGGGAGACAGGAGAAACAATGAACCGACAAGGCACACAGGGGAAGACAAGACTAAATACAGAGAGGGGTAATCACAAGACAAGACACAGCTGGGGTAAGGGAAGCAGAAACACAAGGGCAACAGGTGAACACAATCAAACAATCAGACACACCAGGGAAACTAAGACAGGAAGGCAAACACAGGAAGAAGGAACAGAGAAGACACAAGGAGGAAAACATTTCAAAACAAAACAGGAAACCAGAGACAGAAAAAGACAAGACAAAACACAACACAGACAGATCGTGACATAACCCCCCCCCTCAAGGGACGGATCCCAGACGTCCCAAAAAACATAGTCCAACATTTCCAAAAGGGTGGGTGGAGGGGGTCCGGAGGACGGGCCCGGAAGGGGTCCCGGGCGGACGGCCCGGGGGCAAGGCAGAGTCCAAAAAGGGGCGAAGGCCACAGCGGCCGAACTCAGGGGGCCGGGCATGAGAGCAAAGGCAGCGGCTCTCAGGGGGCCGGGCTCAAGGGCGAAGGCAGCGGCTGGAAGAATCAGGGGGCCGAGCCCGAGGGCGAAGACCGCGGCTGGAGAACTCAGGAGGCCGGGCTCGAGGGCGAAGACTGCGGCACTCAGGGGGCCGGGCTCAAGGGCGAACAAGAAGGCGGCGACGAGACAGCTCCGGAGGACGGGCAGGAAGGCGCCGACGGGACAGCTCCGGAGGACGGGCAGGAAGGCGCCGACGGGACAGCTCCGGAGGCCGGGCAGGAAGGCGCTGACGGGACAGCTCCAGAGGACGAGCAGGACCCAGTATCGGCCGGACAGGAACCGGAGCCGACGGGACAGGCGTAGACGGGGTCCTGAACATGACATGGGCTGGTGTCAATGGGACCCCGGATGGAGCAAGGGCTGGTGTCGACTGGACCCCCAACGGAACAGGCCACAGAGTTGGCAGGACCCCCGGTGGAACAGGTGTCGGCGGGACCTCCAACAGGACAGGACACAGAGTTGGCAGGACCCCTGGCAGGACAGGTGTCGGCGGGACCCCCAACAGGACAGGACATGGAGTTGGCAAGACCCCCGGCAGGAGAGTAGTCGGCGGGACCTCCAACATCACAGGACATAGGGTTGGCAGGACCCCCGGCAGGAGAGTAGTCGGCGGGACCTCCAACATCACAGGACATAGGGTTGGCAGGACCCCCGGCAGAAGAGTAGTCGGCGGGACCTCCAATATCACAGGACATAGGGTTGGCAGGACCCCCGGCAGAAGAGTAGTCGGCGGGACCCCCAATGGGACAGGACATGGAGTTGGCAAGACCCCCGGCAGGAGAGTAGTCGGCGGGACCTCCAACATCACAGGACATAGGGTTGGCAGGACCCCCGGCAGGAGAGTAGTCGGCGGGACCTCCAACATCACAGGACATAGGGTTGGCAGGACCCCCGGCAGAAGAGTAGTCGGCGGGACCTCCAACGGTACAGGACATGGGGTAGGCGTCGGCCGTAGAGCCAACAGGACACGGGGGGCTGGCATTGGCCGTAGAGCCAACAGGACACGGGGGGCTGGCGTCGGCCGGAGAGCCAACAGGAGACGAGGTGCTGGAATCGTCCGGACCACCGACAGGACACGAGGGGCTGGAGTGGGCCGAACCACTGACAAAACACGGGGGGGCTGGCGTCGGCCGTAGAGCCAACAGGACACGAGGTGCTGGAGTCGGCCGGACCACCGACAGGACACGAGGGGCTGGAGTGGGCCGAACCACTGACAAAACACGGGGGGCTGGCGTCGGCCTGGGAGTCAGTACTGGAGCCGAAACTGAAGCCGGAACCATGGCTGCTGGGGCCGGAACCATGGCTGCTGGGGCCGGAACCATGGCTGCTGGGGCCAGAACTGGGGTCGGAACCATGGCTGCTGGGGCCGGAACCATGGCTGCTGGGACCAGACCTGGGGCTGAAACCATGGCTGCTGGGGCACGGACTGGAATCCTGGCCCTGCGTCTCTTAGAGGCCTTTTGGAGACGTGGACCTCCAACATCACAGTAGTCGGATCCCAGGAAAGGGTTAGAGGCTTGAGAAAATCTTCCAGGAACACATGTAAAATGTTGTAGCCACTCAGGCAACAAACCCCTGAGCCCGGGCTTGCGAGCAACCTCCTGGCGTGCCTCCTTCAAAGCCGCCACTCTACCCCGTATAGATGTGGCGTCATACCAGGTATAAAAAATGTACTCCAGAGAGTACCCAAGACGTTCCGCCTGTAGCAACAAAAAATCAGAGTCTGCTGAGTCCAATTCTGGTCGGTTCATTCTGTTAGGATTCGTGGAAAGGGTAGGACCCAAATGCAGACTACAAAACAAGGTAAAAAGGTCTAGAAACAAAAGCGAGCTTTATTCCAAAAGCTGAACATAAACATGGCATGAAACACATAGGTACTACAAAAACTGACCGTGACCAACATGGTGGGTGACAGGAGAAACAATGAACCGACAAGGCACACAGAAAAGGACAAGACAAAACACAACACAGACAGATCGTGACAAGCCGGCCCGGCTAAAATAACTGGATGGCCTACATGCCTGTCAGCCTTCCATCTGTGCACAAACTTATCTCGTGCCCTCATTGGTCATGTGCACGTTTGTGTGTGTTGGAGGAGGGGCTCTGTAAGGAAGTCTGAAGGAAGGGGCAGATTTTTTTTCGGCTGCGTACTTTCAAATTCTAGCGCACTCGAGCTGGTTTCTCCATTCTTACCTACCCTACCTTTAACCCTCCTGTTGTCTTCGGGTCAAATCTGACCGATTTACTACTTTCATCAATCATAACTTTTTTGTTTTACATTCGATTGCATTAAGGCTTTATGATATCCTTCATAGTAGACATTTGAACAATTGCTGATCACCACTTTCATTGCATTTTGGATGATTTAGTCAACTTTGTAACACCCATGGTGTTCCCCGCCATAAAGAAAAGGAATTAGTAACCATCCGGATCAGGTCAGGTCAGGTCAGGTCACACACACACACACACACACACACACACACACACACACACACACACACACACACACACACACACACACACACACACACACACACACACACACACACACACACACACACACACACACACACACACCACACACACACACACACACACACACACACACACACACACACACACACACACACACACACACACACACACACACACACACACACACACACACACACACACACACACACACACACGTCGTCGTCCCCTCCCCCCCTTATGTGCCCAATTCCCCCATGTGAATCACATCTGGCACACACAAACACACACACACACAGAACAATTTGCACATTTACCGCTCTTATGTGCCCAATATATATAACCGCGATCACCAAAGTAAGGGGGGGAAAACGAAGACAATAGAAGGGTTAAGGTCAAAATATAATATTTGTAAACCTGACTCTGAAAGAGTCACTGCCTCACCAGCCATGAACCTCACCGCACGTCACTGCTGGGGAATGAGTTTTCTGTCTCTACATGCACAGAAAAAGGTCGTAATGTGATGGTTTGATGTAATGATAAATAACTGCTTGAAGAAAACAGGCCAAAACAACAAGCCAAGGCAGCATGAATTGGAAGATGAAAAAATATAATGAAGGGTTTTTCAGTCACACTGCTCTCATGTAATTATATAGAGAATTATCTCTCCCTATGTGTATCTACCTGTTTATTTTGGTGCAGGGAAATCCTGTGTTACCACAGGTGAAGTTATGTAAGGGAACATCCCATCCTGAAAGAAGCAGCATGAGGCGTTTACAGGTTAAATACAAAGACTGGGGCGTCTTTTCTCATACTTGCTCCTCCACCCAGACCCAACACTTCCCTTCCTGGCTGGTAAGGTAAGCTTTAGATCTTTTTTTGTAGTTAACATGTCAGGTAACAATTAAGGAAACGGTTTTCATTTCTCAAACAGTTTAGCAACTCAAGGTATTATCAACGTTTTCTGGCCAGATCCTACTGTGTATTACTATACTACAAAGGTATAAGGTGCATGCACTCTTTCTGTCTCGGTACAATGGCTTATTTACCTCAGTGACTTATGTATTTTATTGTAAATGTAGTTTTTCACTCTCTATTATTCTTTATATGATAGAATGAAACGTCATTAAGGTAACAGCTAATCAATAAACAACAAAACACAACATATCAAATAGGAAACGGCAGGTAACACACAAAAGTTGCCATAAGAAAATGTTAAAGACGAATAAAAGTCCAGTTAAAAACAACTGAAAATCAAATTACAATCCTTTGTAGTTTGTCTTGTCCACATTTCCAGAGTGCATGTGCATGTGCATGTGCACCTGCGCACCAGTTATGTGCAGCCCTGTCTATAACCCCTAAAAGACCGCGTAGTAGTGTGACTAAAGACAATGGGTTTTACTATAACTGATTTTCCTAAAGATACTCATTAGATTGCATGCCAACTTATTATCTGCTCTGAGTCTCTTTGTGTGGTTATGTGTCGCTAACGTCTCCATGATAACCAAAGTGAGAAGATGTGGCAATATCTGTAAAAACAAGCTACTGTACTATAAGCAGAAGTAATGAAGGCAAAAGCAGTGCTGGAAGAAGTACTCCGATCTTTTACTTAAGTAAAATACATATTATGTAGAATACTGTGTTACGATTTACTTTGCTGAACATCATGTACCCTGGAATTGCTCACAGTAACCACGGACATGCAGACTGACATATTTAGGCCCTTTCTTAAAGGGGAATTGAACTGTGTAGTGAATAAAAACGGGAATAAAAGTTATTGTATGCTATTTGTGTCATGTAGAACCTGCATTCATACTGACTTTTTAACATCCTATTTACTTATTTGTTTACCCGCCATGTAGAATTGAACTATACAGAGAATAATAGCAACTACTTTTTTTAACGTCCCGACGCGAGAGCTTACCTTTAGAATTTTAGGTTAAAAAGCAATGAAGATATTGGATACATGTACTTTAAAGGATACAGGTGACTGCAACCTCTTGACTAACCCTAAGCAAAGTAGCGTTATCCTAACCCTTTCAATATAAACTTTTTAAACGTGGTCGGTAAGAACTGTTGTGTTGTTGTTATAGCCCATCCCACAACCAGTGAGCAAAAAAAAAAAAGGACCAGGGGATAAAAACAATTTCCGTTTCAAAGATGGAAACTTTACAAGGGGGGGACCTCAGCAAGAGACTCTGAGGGGCTTGGGTTAAGGCCAAATGCAAGTGAAGTCCAAACACCTGTGGATTAAATTGAACATTTGCATGCTAATTATTTGTTGTATTTCTCCATATATTATGTTCGTTGTAATTATTTAAATCTGATGTTTGTATCATCCACATGCCCATGGTTATAGTGGGAACAGGGTCATTTAAACAGTTCTAGATGATGGTCGATATGTTAACACTTCCTGTAGTACTGATAACCTTGAAATTCTCCCTTTTCTGAACAGAGTTCAAACACTGCAGCAATGCCTTCGCCAGGTGTGTGTGTGAACATCATAAACGCCCGTCACCTGAAAGATGATAATGGGATCGTCACTAACCCTCAGAAGTTTCTGGACCAAGACTTTGAGCAGCTGAAACAGTACTGTATGATTAAACGGGTAAAGTACATCGACGGCATGTTCCCCCCTGACGTGAGGTCCATCGGGCCTGGGGTACTGACCCCTTCTGAGCTGAAGCGAGTGGTGTGGCTGAGACCATATGTGAGTGTTTCAGTGTTCAATTTCAAATCACATGTTTCTTTTGCTACTTCAACTCTGTTGATCTGTCACTTGTTTAATGTTGATCCTTGTTAATGTTGGGATGGAAGGAACACTTAACTTGTGTTAGCTCCAACCCACTCTCTTCAGTCTGCGTACAAATGACTTTACACATTGGAAATGCGTGCAATAGATATACGCAGAAGTCCGATTTTGCGTGCATATGATACGCTAACCATTCCCATTGAGTTCTGAGGCCGAGTTTTGCGTGCATATGATACGCCACGTTTTGTCCGGTCGGGTCTTGGTAGACCGGAAGCTGTGTGGTTCATAAAAACATGTTCTTACTCAATACCAAGCCACGATTATTGTTTTTATTTTAAATCGTATAATGTCTGACTTTTTTTGCCGTCTGTGAGGAAAATATATGGGGCTCAGAGCCTCAGAATACTGAAATCTGTATTTAAAAAAACAAACAAATTCCTTCTAATTTGTTATTCTTTTCTAAATAACACACTGTTATTTACTCAACAATAACACACAATTATCCTTGTTTTTATTTATTCGTTTAATTCTATAATCTCTGGCTTTTTAGCCGTTCCTCAGGAACTAAAATTCAAAATAAAGTCACCGGAAACAGACGTAGGCCTATAAGGGACATTTCGAGCATCATTGCGATACACACCACACACCCACTGAACTGATTACCCAAGATCCTCAGCTAGAAGCTCGGTGATTGGATTGTTTAGCTGCAATGCACGTTGGGATATGGTGTTAATGCGATATGAAATCCGAAAAACATTTAAAAATAAGAAAATAATACTTCATTCCGAGTGTGCTTGCTTTTCTCTTTGGCAGTCATCACATAACGGCATTGTAATACACAGTTCGGCTGCATTAAATATTACATATCTGCCGTAGTTCTTTATTTATAGAGCCCTGATGAGAAGACTTCTGGACAAACTGGAAGAACTGCCACCGAAACTGAAAACGTGAAGTGGATCATAAATATATCAGCAATCTTCAATTTCTCTTCACACAATACGTCTCCTTGCAGTATCAATAGTCATTCGGCTGACTTTTATATTTGATCCAATTGGTAGATAGTTTATATTTACACCATAACGGTGCACAGCTGATAGAAAAGGACTTGTCGTTTTTAAACATATTACTGATTTTCTTTGAATATAAGAATGTAAATACTGAGTTGAGAGAATAGTCTTCTTTTAAATAAGAAAAAAGCTTTGGGGGTATCTACAGATAAATATTAAGCCTGACAAAGTACTTAACGTCTAATATATTGCTTTCCTGCAATGTTAACTATGTTGAAGCACTTATTTTAACTGATATTATACATATTAGTTATACTCTTATGTATGTAGATAGTATACGAAATGTGCAGAATATGACAGTTTAATGGTGGAGGTATGCACACATATTGATAGATGTCTTGTAATGCACTGTTGAGGAACCTGTGACCCAAGTTTTTCATTCATTGCATAACTACACCGTAGTTGTGTATATGATATGTCAATAAACCTTTGAAAATCTTGAAATCTTGAAAGGGATGTGCAAAATAGCCATTATATACAGTCTTTAATTAACTATTAGTGGAGAATAACGAGTAATGAATACACTTTATAGGGATCTGCAGATAAATGTTTAGTCTTCTCAAGCACCCACTATCAAATATCTCGCCTGATTGTTTGCACTTGACAATCACCTTCCCTGAATTTTACTCAGGTGTAACTAAAGTCTGATTTAAGGGTTGTTTATATTTCACATTGTTACGTTCCTTACTGGGCTAGGGGAACCAGAGGGAAGTAACAACATATAAAATGACCGGGCGAGAGACAAAGGAGAGGAAACTGTATACGGAAGCCACAAAGTGAGGTTTTAATGGACCAAAAGAAAAAGGGCTCACCAGCCAACTTGCAAAGCAAACTAAGATACACATATATACAGGTCCCACACAGAGACATAGACACCATGCTGCAGCCCGAGGAGAAGGAGAGACCGACTGCAGCTTTTCTCAAGTCCTTTATGGAGGCCCTGATTGGTGATCAGGAGCACCTGGAGGAGAAGCTGCACCTGGAGACAATATAGAGGGAGAGAGAGAAAGAAAGACACACACAAACACCAGCACCCACTACGGCACGTAACACACATCATTAATCAGAATCTGCAAAGTAACTAAAATAAATGTAGTGGAGTAAAAATACCAGGTTAACCTCTGAATTGTAGTGGAGTAGAATTACAAAGTAACAATGAGCTATCATGTGGGTATATATTAATGCTGCCCATTATGGACACGAGCAATTTTCCCCCATTTATTAATTATATGTTTTAAATTTGTACACACCAATTTGTTTCCTATCCCCTAAACCTCCAGGGCTGTACACAGTTTAATACTGGCAACTTCTAATTCTGGGAAAAACAAAAACGTCTTTTAAAACTACAATTCCCAGGAGAGACGTGCCATAGAACATGTTGCGAAACACAATAGCCAGCATGTGTAGTTCTGGGTGGGGGGGGGGTGGCATTCGAGTCCAGTTTTGGATAGTCTGCCGTGGTTTCGTTCGATTTCAAAGAGCTGTTTGACGCTCGGCGTAACCTTGGCGCACTGCCACTCCAACATCCAATCCCAGAGCTTGAAGATTAATCACAGGGTTTGTCAAGCAATGGGACTGTAGTCCCAAACGATAGCTGAGGATTATGGGTAGTGTAGTGTCTTCGGCCATCCTAAACTCTGAAATATTTTTCGGATTTCATATCGCATTAACACCATATCCCAACGTGCATTAAACATCCAGTCACCGAGCTTCAAGCTGAGGATCTTGGGTAATCAGTTCAGTGGGTGTGTGGTGTGTATCGCAATGATGCTCGAAATGTCCCTTATAGGCCTACGTCTGTTTCCGGTGACTTTATTTTGAAATTCAGTTCCTGAGGAACGGCTAAAAAGCCCAAGATTATAGAATTAAACGAATAAATAAAAACAAGGATAATTGTGTGTTATTGTTGAGTAAATAACAGTGTGTTATTTAGAAAAGAATAACAAATTAGATGGAAAAAAAGGTTTAAGAAAATACAGATTTCAGTATTCTGAGGCTCTGAGCCCCATTTATTTTCCTCACAGACGGCAAAAAAAGTCAGACATTATACGATTTAAAATAAAAACAATAATCGTGGCTTGGTATTGAGTAAGAACATGTTTTTATGAACCACACAGCTTCCGGTCTACCAAGACCCGACCGGACAAAAAGAAGTGGTGCAGGCACGAAACGTGGCATATCATATGCACGCAAAACTCGGCCTCAGAACTCAATGGGAATGGTTAGCGTATCATATGCACGCAAAATCTGACTTCTGCGTATCTATTGCACGCATTTCCAATGTGTAAAGTCGTGTCATTTGTACGCAGACTGAAGAGAGTCGGTTGGTTAGCTATTGTGCTAGTGGTTTTCTGACAAGCTAAGACTTAACAAGTATTGTCAATTCCTCTCTTTCAGAAAATGGTTCTCAATCCTTGTTTTGAAGTTGATGGGGTCTCCAGGTTTGACTTTGGTCAAGGCATGCTTGGTATGGCAATTGATTGATTTATAACAATCCATAAATTGTTTTTCCAGCAATGTAATTGTGTGATGCAAGTGCAGACAATTGACAGGAAACAGAATAAAGCAGGGCGGTGGAACATTTGTACCAGTATGTTGAAGCCCTCTTGGTTGTTAGTACTCTCAATAGTCACTTTGTTTCCCTCTCAGGAAACTGCTGGTTTCTTGCATCAATCGGAGCTCTGACGTTCCAGCCCTCCATCCTTAAGCAGGTCGTTCCTCTTGAACAGAGATTTGACGAGGAGTACTGCGGGATATTCCACTTCAGGGTAAACCAACCATCTTGGCAGCAATTCTGCTAAAATGGTTCACATCTCATATTGCTATTACATTCTTTATTTCATCTCCTTTCACAACTACTCAGTTCTGGAGGTTTGGAAGATGGGTTGATGTTGTTATTGATGACAAACTACCAACTATTGATGGCAGACTGGTCTTTGTTCACTCCAAAGACCCAACTGAGTTCTGGCCTGCTTTGATGGAGAAAGCCTATGCCAAGTATGAAAAAAAAAAAATGTCTTGAGATTTTTGTTGTTTTGTATCGGTGTAATTCATTTTACACCAACTTCTGTCAGAGTGTGCGGTTCCTACTCGGACATGAATGCCGGAACTACTGCCGAGGCTTTAGTGGACTTCACCGGTGGAGTTCACATGTGTATTGATCTGACAGAATCTCCCCCAACTCTGTGGGAGTTGATGGGCAGAGCTGGCCAATCCAAGTCACTGATGGGCTGTGGTACACCTCAGGGGGTAAGTATGAATATACCACAAGTAACACTGACTAGCTCATTTTGCTTTTAAGTGCTGAAACCCCAATTCAGCATCTTAAGGCTACAATTATATTAGCCAAGTAGATGGTTAGTTTGCCAAAGTTAGAAAGATCATTTCAGTATCTTTTTGGCTTCTAACGTTTATTTGTCAAATCAAATCAAATCAAATCAAGGTTTATTTATAGAGCACATTTAAAAGCGATTTTTGGTCGGGCCAAAGTGCTGTACATGTAATAACTACAATCACGTAAAAACACATTTCTATAAGCACAATAAAAGACAATAAATTACAACAGATATTTAAAAAGAAAACACAGGGAAAAGTCAGGAGTCGTGCTCCGCTCTGACTAAAAGGCCAGGGAGAAGAAGTGTGTCTTAAGAGTAGATTTAAAAAACCCTAGGGTCTGGGCCGACCTCACATGGAGGGGCAGAGTGTTCCAGAGCCTCGGGCCAGCTGCTGCGAAGGCTCGGTGCCCTCGGGTTTTGAGCCTGGTCTTGGGCACTATCAGCAACAGCTGGTCAGCAGACCTTAAAGCTCTTGTTGGGGTGTAGCGCTGGAGGAGTTCAGCTATATAGGCCGGAGCCAGCCCATTTAGTGCTTTAAAAACAAATAAAAGGAGTTTAAAATCAATTCGGAACCGAATTGGAAGCCAGTGCAGTGAGGCCAGAATTGGGGTGATGTGGTCACGCTTTTTGTGGCCAGTGAGTAGACGTGCAGCTGCGTTCTGGACTAGCTGCAGGCGTTTAATTGACGCCTGGTCCATACCCACGTACAGAGCGTTGCAGTAGTCCAACCTCGAGGTAACAAAGGCATTAATAACCCTTTCCAGGTCCTCAAATGATAAAAACGACTTTGATAAAATGATAAAAAAGCAGGTTTTGACTACGCTGCTGACCTGCTTATCGAATTTAAAAGCGCCATTGAAGGTCACTCCAAGGTTCGTGACAGAGGGGAGGATATTATTTTTGAGGGAGCCCAGAATATCAACCTGGGAGGCTAGAGGTTGGGGTCCAAAAAAGATAACCTCAGTCTTGCTCTCATTGAGGTTGAGGAAATGTTGGCTCAGCCAGGATTTGATCTCTGCTAAGCAGTCCATCAATAGCTGTAATGAGTTAACATTTGAATTGAGTGGCAGATAGATCTGTACATCGTCGGCGTAGCAGTGGAAGGGGATGTTGTGTTTTGTGAGAATTGAACCTAGGGGCAGTATGCACAGTAGAAAAAGGATGGGGCCCAAAATTGAGCCTTGGGGAACCCCACAGGTAAGAGGGGCTATGGCTGAGGAGAAGGCACCTAGCTGCACTGAGAAGCTACGGTCTGTCAGGTAGGACCTGAACCATGCAAGGGCAGAGCCTGTGATGCCAGCGGACTGTTCAAGCCGTGACAACAGGATGCTATGGTCCACAGTGTCGAAGGCAGCTGTCAGGTCTAACAGCACCAAGACAGCTGGGCTACCTGAGTCGGCGGCTAGGAGCAGATCATTAAAAACTCTTAAAAGGGCTGTTTCAGTACTGTGCATGGGTTTGAAGCCAGACTGAAACTTTTCATGGATTCCATGCGTGGTTAAAAAAGACTGCAGCTGGGCGTAGACTACTCGCTATTTGTCATAGCAGAAAACAAAAAGCACTACGATGGCATGGTACAATTCACTTTACGTTTTGTCGATAACTCCCTGTTCATACATGTACATGGATGAAAGACTGCCAAGAAGAACATTAGTATATTTAAGCTATATTTTAATTCCATTTGATACTTATGAAGGGACGGATTTTTCCAAATCCTCTACTCGATCTATTAAGATTAAACTATTCAAACAAAACTGATCATGGTCTTCAATGGCCACCCAGTTCTCTCCGTTATAACTTGAATAACCTATTCTGCGGCTATAAAGACAAAAATGACATATGGTATTACTCAGGTAATGAAATCTTTATGTAAGGTAAGGAACACACTGCTTTTGATTATCTATGTTTGAATGAGTTGTAAACCAGGTTAGTATGCTAGTGAGTTAGTAAGCAGTATGCATGGCATCTGGGCACTGGCACAACCAGTGTACATATATTATTGGTCAAAAGAGAAAGACAAACTAATGTTCCAATGTCCTTTGCTTATAATATTTCTCTCAAATCCCTGCCATTGTAGTATTTTGGATGATTAAAAAGGTTGTTAATCTTTTTCTTTCAAACTAGTAGCTCCATAGAATCTACCTATTCTATGGTCTCTTAAAGGGGACCTATCATGCAAAATTCACTTTTTGATGTCTTTTATACATAAATATGTGTCCCCGGTGTGTCAGGGAACTCACGCAGCGTCAGAAAATAAAACCCTCTCTCTTTTCCTCCGTACCCAAATCTCTAAAAACGGGGGTACAACGGAGCTGATCCAGATTTGCGTCCGATATGACGTAATATCAGAAATGTGGACCCACAGCACTATCAGAAAGTTGCTATCAGAAACAATGCCCGACTGTTTTGGACGTAATACTGTATGGTCGGTGTTTACATTAGCATCGCTAACACTCAGAGCTAACCTGTACTGGAGAGCATGTGTGTGAAGAAGCTGAATATAAAAAGGAACTCACCTTGTGGTATAACCGGCAAGAGAGAAAGCCTTTGAGCTCCATACTGTTTCAGAAATAATCCTTGATAATCCATGATATGGCATTTCATCACGGCAGTATTTAGTTTAGACAGTAGCTGCCGGGTCCCACATGAGCTCAGCCCCCTCCTTTTTTATTTATTTTTTATTTTTTATTTTTTAAACCTTGTGTTGTGTTCAAAAGCTGTTACCGTTCATGGTGTTCGCGGGTCAATTTAGACCCATGATTTATCTCAGTCCAAAACACACAAAAAATGACTATCATCCAATATTGTTTTAACTACATCATAACTAACTTATAATGCATTCATAACCGTACAATCCTGTTGTAAATGAATGTTTTGGCCCAAAACGCATTACACCACATATTGCACACGTGCATATGTGTGTTCAGGTTCAAGTGTTAGTGTACATATTCTTTGAGAAAGGTCGAGTTCCCGTGGGGGGAGTGGGGCAGAGGGAGGGGAGACCAGGTGCATGTTGCGAAAAATTATTGTTACAGTTGATGAAGGGGGTGGGGCTGGGGTGTCTAAAGTCAAAGATGAATCTTGATTGGGCCAAATTTGACCTCGAGTCACCCAAAACAATTCTGCTGGGTCTCCCCAGACCCGAACACCAAATGATACACTTTTCTTGTGAGACCTTCAGACGTTTTGTAGTGTTTATATATATTTATATAACTGTTGTGGAGGATATCATGAAGCCTTGTTCTGATACAAAAAACTAGAGCGTAGTTATTTTAATTTTAACTTGAAACGGGTCACGGGAGACCCAAACACAACATAAGGGTTAAAAAGCTTTATACCCAAAATCAGCACTTTTGAAGGCGAGACACCCCAGGTGAATAGGGTACTTTTTTTAACTTAAAGATATCAGCTAGAAATTTCTCCAGTTAATTACTTACAATAAGGCAATTGTTTTTTGTATTACAAGTTTTCTGAAATAGCATGTTTAAATATGCAAATGAGACATTATCTCATTAGATATGCGCATATTTTAACACATTTCAGGAATCGAAATCTAAACTTTGGATAAAGCCAGGTTCAAAATTCTCGTTTAATTTTGTAGTCATATTAGTATCTAAGGCTTTTACAGAAGGGATTTTGGATATCTCTTTTTGTCATTCCATAAATCAGAAAATACTGTCAACAGCCCTAAAATATCAATTTTCGCAATGTTTTTAGGTATACAATGTTATATAATTCAGGCTATGAATGATATATGAACAAACCTTTCTGTAAAAGCCTTCATAATATTGATAGGAATATAACTGGAAGGTTTGGTGTATCTACGTGCTACTGAAGTGGACATTTCGAGAAAAAACTCATTTTGAGAAAACAACCTTTAAAAAATGCAGTGTGGCGCTAGCTAAACCCTCCTGTTCTTTGGATGACAGCTTGCGCATCGACGCACTCCGTGAAGGTATTTCATGTTCGGGGTTATTTGTTTTTTGTATAACCTTGCTTCGTGCAAGTGGCAATTGTTGTCGTCTTCTCTGTGAACGTTTTTTTCGCCGTTCTTTTGCCATTTTGAGATTAACATTTCTAGCGGAAAGCTAACCAGGAAGTGTTTTAGCACACCACGTGACGCATCACGTTGTCAGAAATGTACACCAGCCAATGAGATTTCGTTTCTTGGTTTAAGACCCCTTTGTACTTTCACGATTGGCTGCTGATACAAAGGAAATGACCATATTTGGATCCGATGAGATTGTGCAGGAGAGACGGAGCTTTCCAACGATACCTCTGATGACATGGTGCAAACAGCGGTCGCGGTACTTAATGTTACGTTAGAATGCTAACTTTTAGTGAATTTAGGAGAAATCTACAGACGCAAATAGACAAACTATAGTAAAATAAACACTTAAATGTGTATTTTGTACGTTTTCCTTCCAAAAGCCTGAAAGAAAACATGTTATAGAATCAAAATAGCACAAAATCTCAAAATTGACAAGTGCTTGAAAAACGATGTTTTTGCCTGCCGTGTCTCGCCTTAAATTGCACATTCCCTTTAACAACAAAGTCATCTTTGTTATTTGGTTTGCTGGTTCATGGGTTTGTCTGTTTGTAAGAAGGAGTGAAGAAAACCTACCAGGCTACTTTTCATGAAACTTTTTGGAAGGGTGAGGCATGTACCAAGGAAGAACCAAAACCATTTTAGAGCGGGGCAATGAACCCATTATTATTCACTTATGGAAACGGCCTCATAGTCTATTTGCCAGCTCATAGAGTCCTATTATGAACCCGGAGATGTTGAGTACCCCAACATTTGATGATAGAAACGTATAGTACAGGTTCCCAGCACATATCAACTGCCGGTGCAATTTGCACAATTGGCATGAGTTGCATTAATTAGCATAGGTAGGCAATAGTTAAAAAATG